CGATCAAAATGTCGTAACTTCCGATCCGATAGGAAAGTAAAGTCGTTGAAGGAGCGAGGTCGAACAACCACGAAGGAGCCGAAGAAGTGACGTGTGCAATCTCTACACATGCGCAGCAACGAATCCGAACAGCAACAACGGAAAAAGAAGACGAAAAAGAAGATGAGCTGCTTGCGTTTCGTTTCGAGAGAACGAGAGCGGTGGAAGTTCAATGAAATAAAAGCCCTAAGCGTGCTCTACTCACGCACATACATATAAACTCTTGCGAAAAAATAAATAAATAGAGGCACTGCCTCGATTCACATTTGCGCCTCAAGCCTTGAGGCGTACGCCTCAATACAAAAAAGCGTAAGCTTCATCCGATGGGTTGAGGCTTAAGCCTCCGTTCGCAAAGGCTCGAGGCGCCCGCCTCGACTGCTTTTTAAATCCATGATGATCTCCATAGAAATTGTATTGTTCAAACTTCAACAGACATGATCCCTATGATATTTCAACTATCTGATGCTCAAATTATGAGGAATGCTTCTTATAGACTTCTATGAGTGAATCAGATTGTCTACTCTTCTTGATTAGTTTTGGTGGAGTTAATCTTGATGATTGAATTTGATGTATCAATAGGTTTGGCGACTATTTGTTTGAGATGAGCTATATGTCTTGCTCCTAGCCAGCTTTTTGTATTTGCATGTCACATTCTTTACCCAAGTTAGAGAGCAAGGATTCTACTTTCTTTGGGAATTCCTTGTTTGTTTTAATAATTCTACTTATTTTTCCTTTACTCTATTTGCCATTAGCGTGCCATATTTTTTTTAATTTATAAGTTTTTCCTTTTTGAGCTGTCATGTTGGAACATCTTGCATACCATCTCATCAATGCAATTCTTATTCATTGTAGACTTGAAGCGGAAAAAACAATCAAACTTCAATTACCTATTTTGAATTCAACGTAAAAAGTAAGTATTATGTGGCATGTAATGCCCAAATCTAATTCCTGCACCAATTGGCATAAATGAGGTTCTTTTGTCTGCAAGTGTTGATGATGGCGTTGATTAACTCTTGCTTGATATGTAATCTCAGGGTAAACTTCTCCACTAACGTGCACTTCTTAGAGGACAACCCAACTGCTATATCTTTTGACATTGCTATTAGAGATGGAGACATGTCTACCTAGTTAGGTTGACTCAGCATAATGTTGCACACAAATTTTTCTTTCCCATATTTCTTCCATATTTTCAAGGAACAAATAATGTTGTTGTTTTCACCATTTTTGTTTTAGGTGTATGGTGTTTTATCTCATGTAGTGGGATAAAGGCTTGTTGTTGTTGTGGTATGGTATTTGATAATGGTCATAACTTATGAGAGTATTTGGTTTTGTAAGAGGATGATCCTTCACTTATCTTTTTTTCCTTCTTTTGGAGAAAGAGTATCATTCTTAAGATGATTCTAAAGTTTACTCCATTTTCCTTCGTTCTTGCGCTATATGGTCATCACAACAATGCAATCATGTTGATTTGAATGAGATTGGTGATTGGAACCAAATTAACTTCATTTTTAATTTGAAATAAAGTTATGAGGTATATTCAAAGTTTATAGATCCCCATTTTTACTCCTACCTAATGTTTGAACTTCTTGGTATACTCCAGCACAAATTATCCTAGGCATTGCCTCAAATGGTGCTACTTCTTTCACTTATCTTCTACATTCCTTATCAGGTAACAATATCAATGTTTTAGCTGCTTGAAGTTTCAACTCTTAATTGTCATTCATCTTTAGATTGACTTTTCTCCATGCTTAACTTCAATCGGATAAGTGCAATCTTGTCATGAGGTGCTTTACCCATATATGTGACGTAAATCTCTAAATGTGTGATCCATGCGTCAAACTTTTTGGCATTAACTGTGCCATCATATGTAAAAGTCTTCACTTTTATTTCCAGTTTGAATGGTTGCGTTCTTCCTTCATGAGTGGTAGATGCATCGTCATTTTCATCCTCTTCCTTAATGTTTGCTTCTGGCATAGAAGGATGATGTGTATGATTGCCACCTATTCATAGCAACTAATTTTTTTACATCGTCATTCGTTTTCTTTGTGAATTTTTACACCCAGTTGTCCAAATTTGATGTAGAATTGTTGTTTGCCATTAAATAACTTACTACCTCTTCTTCTTCCCTTTTATTTTTTAAACTTTCGATATATCTCTCTCTAAGTCAAGAAAGTCCCTCTCGTCTTTTATCCCTTAGTTTGTATAATGCTTCAATGAATGATGCTTTGATACAAATTTGATTCATAGCTAGCCTTTCATTGTTTTTTTATGATCCCATAATGAGTGGCTAAAATGGGTTTATAAACGTTTTAGGAATATATTTTTTTGGGATATTTCCTATTGTTCTATCAATCAATTAAAGGTTCCTCAAGCATTTTTTCATGTTGTAGATGACATACCTTTTTATTTTCTCCTTCTATTTGTTGTGGACAGCAAGTTTTCTCTTTGACTTGAGTGTTTTTTTCATTGGACAACAAGCTAACCGCTGGATTCTTTCCCGGATTGCTGAAAACCACAATGTATATTTTTTTTTTGCTGGATGGCAAGGACTCTTGCGGTTGTTGCCATGTGCGACAAATAGTTGCTATATCATCTGCCATTTTATGAAAAAAAAAAGCAAAACAAGTGCACATATGATGGCAGCAGTTGCGGCGTGTAAACTAGGCAGCAATCATCACATCCAATTGGTAAAGCCAAACAAGTACTGCTAAGCTGAATACGTTTAAAACAGCTGATGCAGTTTGTGCTGCATTAACCAGCTTTTGCTACAATGCAGAGAAGGAATAGAGCAGCAGCAATGGAAACATAGTTGCAGCCATGCAAGACCAGTCCGCACCTTGTTAATGGGTTGAAGGAATTCTAAAGAGAGAAGAGAATGGCTTTTGGGAAAGATGTTTATTGAATTTCATTTGCATGAAACAATACTATTTTATAGGTAATTACAGGATGAGATAAAGTCTTATCCAAGTCTAAATAAACTCCACCAGAACTAGAAACCCTATGTATAATAAGAACATATCTAAAGTTCAAACTAGAGGTAATTTAAGTAGAAATTATTCTAATTTAAATTTAAATTCAAATATAATATCCAAATAACTTCAAAATTCAAATCCATACTTATCCTGCTTTAATTTGAAACATGATCCAAATTTGTAGACTTCCTATCCTCCTAATTCTGATCATCAGACACGATTGTTAATTTTTCTTCTCGGGTGACTTTTGATGCCCACGTAGTGGGATAAAGGTTTGATGTTGTTGTTATTGTGGTGGACTTTTGGTGATGTTCTTTTCGATCTCAATAGCGTGAATTGAGAATCGCTACTTTTGATAGTCTTCATCAGGAAATTAGACTATTAAAACTTTTGCGTAATTATTCCTTTGATTTTTCCATGATTTGATAGCCAAATCATGATGAAAGCTTCTTCTTAAAGGTTTCTTAGCGTGAATATGGACGATGCCCAGAAATGATGATTTCAACATGGGAAAAACAAATCCTTGTCTTGTTCAGTTCATTAATCAAGAGTGCTTATCATTCTTGTTCAAGCTCACTTTTTTGCTTCGTGAATGAGTTGAGTTTAATTCCTTTGTCTAGCTCAGAACCAAATTTGGTGTCAGATTAGTGGTCTTTTGCCTTTCTGAATCTTGGGCTGTGTTTGGATGGCACCACTAGCAAGAAATTTTTGCCTATTTTTTGGATCTCTATAGGTAATTGGCAATTGAGTTGATTTTTCTGATGGGCTTGAGCTTCACTCCTTTGCTTTGACATTATGGGAGCTTTATTTCTTTATTTTCTTGCTTGAGTGTACCAACGGAGTTTTACTCAAATAGAGTTGCTTCTGTCTTTGATTTTGATTTGCATTTTATTATGTTGCTTTAAATTGATTTGTTTTATCATGCTACATATCAAGCAAAACATCTATTTTCATGATTTTTAGTTGCTTTTGTTGAGCAACATATTTCTTTCATTAGACCCACTTCTATTTTTGTTATAGAATGCCTCAAAATATCAGTTGTCTATGAGCGCATTGACGCATCTGATCACCCTCTTAAGACTAGGTAGCAACCTTAATGAGTTATAAAATTTGAGGTTTTTCAATTTTCGTCATGGTTTAGCGATTGCCTATTTTTAATGCATATATCATAGATTGTTCTGTGATGGTGAAATAGATGGGGATATTATCAGCAGAATTCAAGTTGGATGGTTGAAGTGGAGGAATGCATCGGGCTTGTTATGTGATAGAAATGTACCCCTCAAACTTAAGGGAAAATTCTATAAGATGGTAGTGAGGCCTGCAATGCTTTATGGTGCCGAATGTTGGCCATTAAAAGAGAAGCATAATACTAAGTTAAGTGTGGCAGAGATGAGAATGCTCAGGTGGATGAGTGGCTTTACCCTTAGAGATAGGATACGAAATGAGCATTTACGTGAAAAGGTTGGAGTAGCTCCAGTAGAAGATAAAATTAGAGAGAGTCGCCTTAGATGGTTTGGTCACATAAAACGACGGTCTTTCGATGACCCGGTTAGGAGAGTAGAGGTATTAGATTTGACTTATGTTAAGAAAGGTAGGGGTAGACCTAAAAAGACTTGGTTAGAAAATATTAGGAATGACCTTTCTTTATTAGGTTTAAATGAGAATTTGACTTTTAATAGAACACAATGGAGAAAAAGGATTCATGTAGCCGACCCCACGTAGTGGGATAAAGGCTTGATGTTGTTGTTGTTGTTGTTGTATATCATAGATTGTTCTGTATTTGAACATTATTTTTGAGTCAATATAAATATCCATGTTTGAATGGTTTTTGTCTGATGATGGTTCTTTCCATATCCTGTAGGATTTTGCACGCTTTAAGTTTTATTTTGAATTTATCTATTGCCTAACTCAATTTTGTACATGTTGTAATCATGTTTTTGCTTTTCTTTAATTATAATGTGTCAATATATAATCTTTTGTTTTTTCAAGTTTAATCTGTGATGGCTGCGAGAGGTCGGCTAGCTCGCCAGCCTTTTGAAGATGGTCGTCGTGGGTATCCTGCTATTCCAGGACCATATGCACGTGTTCATCCCTCTCGTCCTCCCCATCCTGCTGTCTATGAGGAAGAACTTGAAGTGCAACAGCATGAGATTCGGAGGCTTTTGAGTGATAACCGCAGGCTTGCTGAGGATCGGATGGCTTTTCAGCAGGAACGTGCTGCTGTGAAGGAGGAGATTCATCGTATGAATTTGTTCATTGCTGATATTCGTGCTGAAAAAGATGCACATTCTAGGGAGCTAATTGAGAAAGGCTTGAAGTTGGATGCTGATCTAAGAGCGGCTGAACATTTGAGGAATGAAGTAATACTGCTTCGTGCCGAAGTTCAGAAACTTAATGCCATGAGACAAGATCTCACTGTGCAGGGTCAGACACTGACACAAGATTTGAAAAAGGCACGAGCTGAGCATCAGCAAATCCCTGTTCTTAGGTCTGAAATTGACAGTCTATATCAGGAGCTTATGCGAGCAAGGTTGTACATAAAAGGGTTCATTAAGTGATTTTACTGAGGCTTTTTTCCATACATGCATCTTTCCTTTGTTCATAATTTCCATCATATGACCACAAATATTGAGTGTCCTTGTTTGGGTGAAGGTCTGCTATCGAGTATGAGAAAAAAGGAAATACTGAACTGCTGGAGCAAAGACAGGCAATGGAGAAAAACTTGGTCTCCATGGCTCGTGAAGTTGAAAAGTTACGGGCTGATCTTTCAAATGTTGAGGGAAGACCATGGGGTGTCGGTAAATTGCTTCCCTTTGATGTTTTCTCTTTCTAGGCATATATGATGACATATGACTAGCTGAACATTTTGCAGTAGTTATTAAATTTTCCTGACTTATTTGATTTATTATCTTCCTTTCATTCTTTCCTGCCATGTTTAAGTGAATTTCATATCACATCATTTTCACATTATTTTTAATTCTCCCTGTTATTGCTAACAGTTTGGTCGTAACTAATGAACATCTCTGATTATAGATGCTTGATATATTCTATGTTTTGCATATACTTCCACTTTTTCTAATGCTGCTTTTATTCCTCAATGAAATTCTATTGTTTTATAAATTTTATATTATTGTCCATTGTGCTGGGCACCAAAAACCTAACTACGCATTTTGCAATTATTAAATGAAATTTATTCATTTAATTGTTGTTGTAGGTGGAACCTATGGTATCAAACATGGAAGCCCTGAAGCACCTTTTGCTCCGTATGGGGAGGGATACGGACTTCATCTGGTACAGTTTTATTTTGTTTTTACTAAATGCATTTTTTTTTTTAATTGGAAATTCCTAAGCAGTTGCTAGAGTATTTGAATGCCATCTTGTGTGCATTCTTATTATATTTTGATTGATTATTTTCTTTAATTATCAGGGTGGCACTGATAAAGCTCCGGTCTATGGTGCTGGCTCTGGAACGTGGGGAACATATGACAAGTCTCATATTGGACGTCGTTGAGCTGGTGTTTTAGTTTGTTTTTGAATTGAAAGCAATCACTTCATTTTGACATCTTCAGTGAAAGGGACGTTCTTAAGCTAAGTTGGTTGGTGCATACTTCACCATCATTATCTCTTAAGAAAGTGCTTGACATGAGAAAGCAACATGGCGTACTGTTTATGTTTTACATTTGCTTCCGTATTGTTTAATGTTCTATATCTGTTGTATGTTAAACTTATTAGATATGAGACTTAGTAATTATCTCCGACATATTTATGTTTTGTTGTTTTTTGTTGATTGTTCCGTCTATCCTATTTTTGATTGTTGATTCTATGGATTAAGTTGGCCTGTTCTAGTGAATGTCTACGGTTTGAAGTTTCAGTTATTAAATCATTGATACGTTAGATCTGTCTTTTGCCATTTTTAGTTTACTTGAATAAATGCAGTTCTGGAAATTTTGTCAAGCATAATTAGTTAGACGGGTTTCAGGATTATTGTAGTGACAAGAAGCCTTGGCATAGCGTTATATTTGTAACGAGGGTGCAACTAACTGTCCACAGAAAGAATTGTCTTTTTCTTACGATGCATTGTAATCTCAAGTACCTGGTTAAGAGTTATTTGAGGAAAATGAAAGACTAATAGGTTCAGTCAAGATAACAAAGTTGACGATTAAGTCAAATAAGTTGATTCGTATTAGCCCCCCATGGGCCATGATTATGGCCACAAGGTTTTATTGGCTCCAAGGCAGTACTGCAGCTATGTAGACATGCTCAAAATGTTAAATGGGCAGTTCAGATTAATGGATTGCCTGGGAAATGATACTGCTCAATGTTTATTTCAATTTAATAATGGGTACAAAAGGTCTGAGTTGATATGCTGATGAGTGATGAGTCGACTATATCTTCTTGGATTGAGATTTAGCTTGTTCTTTGGATTGTGAAGGCAAAAATGGTGAGATCTTAGCATCTTGCTCCTTTGAAGGTCACTTTTAGGGTTTATTATATAAGGCCTTGCATGTTAAATCGGCTTATCTTTCTGTAGTAATAAGTTCAATTGAGTATTGGTTGGTCTGTCCTATACAAGGAAGGTGCTCAAATAGAGTGGTATGGATATCTATTTTACTAAGATTTAAAATTTCTTTAGCTTCTTAAGCAAGCATGCTATGCCCATTGATATGCAAAAAGGATTTGTATGAACTTGACCTATATTGTTGAATCTATTTCTAAGTTTAGATATTACTGGTCATGCAGCCTTTGAAGATGTATTTTGTAAGCCTGAACACTAGTTTCAATGATCCTAGACGAATACAACTTTTTGTGAGATATATGACTGTACATTGCTGGTCTCCTGAAGTTTAGTGAATGAGCATTTTTCCTTATTTTATGGGTTTCTGAGGTAGCTGCAAGACAGACTTTTGATTGCAGTCTTGTATTGTTGTGGCCTTCTATATCGAACAAAATGCATTTATTTTTTCTCTGTGACTTTTGCAAGTATCCAAGTTTGATGGTATCAACTTCAGTGTGCCATACAGAGTATACAAATTATCGGACAGAAGGCCTGTTAACTGATATTGTCCACATGCAGCTCCTCTGGCGTGTTAGTAACTATCAGTGTTCAGGAGTTGAGAAGTATAACTTGTTCCAAGTTGTTTTCCTTCCATGGCTGATGATATTGTTGGTGATTTTTATTGTTAAGCAAAAAGCAGTGTGGGTTGATTTGAGAGACTATGCAGCTGATCTATATGGCTTCATTTTTTTTAATCTTGAACAATTAGGCTAAGATGATATCGTTGTGTTTCTGATGAAACTTGAATCTTAATTTGGATCCAAGCAGACTGGCGGAAAAGTTATTTTGATCAGTCAGAGCTATTGGTGTATTGTTTTTCATTTTGTTAAGGTCTTAAGCCTTTTAAAATTTGTTGACATTAGCTTGAACTCTGAGTTTTAGATTTAGCCAGCAACCTCGTGTGCTTATGGTAAGAAAGAAGTATAGTTCTTCATGGCTAGAAATCATTCTGTTATACCTAAAGTTGTGCAGATCATTGGAGCTGAACTGGGTTACATCTTGACTGGAAGTATAGAGGCAAGTATTCTTCTCCTAATTTAGATTTAGTACATTCTTGCTTGCACTATGAAGTTTCGGTTAGTGTAGCTATTTTTACCTTATGAACTGTAAATTCCTTTGTATTATTTCTAAGATACACAAAGATTACTTTGAACGGTAGTGGTTGAAATCCTTTTTTAATGTGCATATTATTCTATTATATGGTCCCTATATATGGATTTCATCTTTCTCTGGGCTTCCCACTATGTTGAAAGATTTCTTCTATTGCAAGCTTGACTAGTAATATGGTTCATGGAGATCATTGGTGCCTTTTTCTACTAAGGATTTTCGAAATATGATGTCTTATGGTCTATAAAATTTCTAACGCAGATCTTTTATGAGGTGCAAAAAATCTTGCAACAAGCACATTGAATTAGTTCAATTTGTAACAACTGTTTTCCAATTTTAATGATAATTGAAAATATTGAAGGATTCAATCTAGCCAAAATTTTAGGCAAAAAATTAATGGCTTTTGATAGAAGATCTGTTGGACAGCAAAACAGCAATAGGAGATTGCCACGATTGCTGGACAGCAACTTTGACACTTGGGGAAATTCTGGACAGTAAGTAGCCAACCTGGGACAGCGATTCTGAATAGTTCAGGGCAGCAACGGTAGCTCCCAGAGGGGTTGGACAGCAGCGAACTGCTGCTGGAGTCTTTGAACAGCAAATAGGTGGCCTTGGACAGCAGCTTTCTAGGTTTTGGAAGGGTGGACAGCCACTATTAGCATCCAGAAATTTCTGAACAGCAAGTAAAGATGTGTAAACAGCAGCACATGAAGATCGGGACAGCAGTGAGAAGCCTTCCTGGTGGTGGTACGGTAAAGGAAGTCTTGCTGGAGTGAAGGGCAGAAAGCTGTCCTTCTTTGGACAGCAGTTTACTGTGTATAAACTTCAAGACAACAGGTAGAATCTGTCCAGAATGCAGATATCTGTTCTGGACAGCAAGATATTCTTGCTGGAATAGGGGGACAGCAAGCAGAAAATCAGGGAAAACTGAGGGCCACGTGGTAAAGAACTGGGAGGGGCAGCTGGGGCTGAGAGAAGGTTGGAGATGACTGGTTTTGAGAGTCTAGGGAGTTAATATGGATTGATTGAATTGGGGAATTTAAAAATCCCTTTCCAAACTTAGGATGTTAAATAAGGAAAGAGGATTAGAGGCCATTATCTAATTTAATTGATTGAATTAAATAGATAGAGGGGACCGGCCATGCATGGGGGGAAATTGATTGAGGATTTAAGACTCTTTCCAAATATAGGATATTAAATAAGGGAAGAGGATTAAAGGGAATCTCCAATTAAATTCAGATTTGAAGAGATTTGGAAAGTATTCAAATTAGATTAATCTTATTTTAGAAAAGGATTCAAATTCAAATTTATTTGAATTTGAAAATTGAAATCTTTCCAAATTTAAGAAGATCTAAATTAGGTAAGTCTTCAATTCTTTCTTTATAGGAGATTTGGAAAGGAACGAGGGGCAAGTAGGGACGGCGGGTGAGGGCTTGGGTGGTGGGTGGCCGGTGGGGTTGTGGTTTTCGCCGAGAAAGAAAGAGGGGTTATTGCCGGCAGTTTAGAGGGGATTTGGTTGGGTTGAATGGCTTGGTGGTGAGGGAAGTTGGCCGGCGGCAAGGTGGGGGGGTTGGCTAGGGAATTCGTCGGCTAGGAGGAAAGGAGATTGAAAGAAAAAGAACGATAAAACAAACCACGAACCTGGCCGTCTCCAAGGTTGGTGGGTGATCCATTTTCCCCCCCTAGGGATTTCTCCAAAGCTCTCTCCAAGAACTCTCACAACTCAAAGAACACATGTGCAGGAATTTTCTTCTCATTCATTAATTAACCCTCCAAGAACAAGAGGGAGGCTTTAAATAGCCAAATACATGAAGGGAAATAACAAAGACACTATTGTCCCTAGGGCATACATAAGACAAAGCCCTCAAGTGAGGGTAGAAAGGAAAAAAGAACAATAACAAATCAAATACATAAATTAGATCAAAATAAATAGGCATGATCGTAGTCGTAGATCTCCGATGTCCTCATCAATAGGGGTGTCAATATTTGACACGACCCGAAATAACCCAAAAATTTTGGATTCGGGTCAACCAGTTTAGAAAATGGGTTGGGTTCGGGTTTTAAATCCTGACCTAATTGCAAATTCGGGTCCGGTTTGGGTCAACCCGACAACCTGAAATCAACCAAGAACTCACCAACGCTATCCAGCTTGCATTCGCTCGTCTGTCTGCGATTCGTCGCGTGCAGTCACCAGAGCCGTTGCGAGATAATCACAAACATGTCATAAATTGAGAAGAGAGTCGTAGGAGGGCTTCAAATTGAATGTCGTAGGAGAAGCTCCATATCATTTTGTTTCACTTAAAAAGTCTACTCTGATGATTGTTTAGTTGAAATTTTGCTATAATTTCAGGCAAAACTATCACATTTCGTATGTAAATGTCAAGAAATTATTCCACGTAAATTTATTACTCTATTGCACATGGTATCTCTAATATCCAACTTAAGAAATGGACTATTTCATAACCAATTTTAGATTTAGAAACAAAGTTAGTATAACAATCTAGGCAATATGCATATATGTTTGAGGGAAGTTTGAAGAAAGCGTGGAAAGAAAGAAATTGACTTTAACTAAGGATTCATAATTTAGTCAAATTAATTCATTTAGAAATTAGATTAATACGAAAAAAATTCAGGGATTTTCAACCTTTATGCATTTGTCCAAGTTCGTTGTATTACTTTATTTGGTCTTGTTTTTTTAGTAATAAATTTCTTAATAGTTCGAGGTGGGAAATTTTAAGTATTTAGATGAAGTTTGAATTATAGTTGACATCTTAAATAGGCCAATTTTTAAAAGGAGCAAACTAATAATTAAAATTATGTGCAGGAGCTTAAATGAATAATAATTTGAGGAGCAGTCCAGAGAAAATGGTTTTCGGTTTTAAGAAATCGTGAAATAGTTTATTGGTTTCTTCGGTTTTAAGAAATCGTGAAATAGTTTATTGGTTTCTTCGGTTTTAGAAGAAACTAGAAAATTGTTTTCCGATATTTAGTGAATAACATAAAAAATATTGGAACGTCTTTTGGGCATTTATTTTGAGGGAGATTTTTTGTTTTGTTTTGGCACGATACGTGGATCGTCCAACATGAATTCCTCCCCGCAAGTTTCAGATTGATTTTTGGTGCTCACAATCCTGACTGTCTAAAGTGAAGAGGAAAGCCAAACTGTCGGCTATATTTACGGACAACAT